TGTGCCTGGCAAAAAGTGACAGATAACTGCCTCTGGTTGCATCTCCGGGGAGGAGTTTAGGGAGGCAGCCTGTAATCCTGCCTGCTGAGTTCGGTCCAGACACTCTCAGACGTTATTAATCCTTTGTAGCAGGCCAGCGGGCACCGGCAGCCTGCTCCATAAACGTGCTGCGGTATGAGAGGGACAGTCCCTTTCCTGAACAGTGTTCAGTCTGAGGAGATGGTGGAGGGATAGAGGGATGGAGGATCTTCGGGACCCCACGTCCAGACCACTGAGAAGCTCCCGTGGAAGATGCCAGCCGATTTAACAACCTCAGAGAGTCAGTGTCTTCATTTTAAGCCTCAAGTGGCACCGTCCTTGGCACTGGGGTGCTTTAATCGGTGGGTCTGATGCCCCAGCCTGTCCCACCCACCACGTTTGGGCCAAAATTGGGAGCAGTTTCCATTTCCTCTCCCAGCAGTTTGCTGCGGCTCCTGCTCCGAGCATCCCTGCTCCTCCTAAAAGAGCTGAACTGGGATACCTGCCAGGGATGGGGCTGTAACGTGCTTGTCCACTCCTCCAACCCTGCATGAGTGTGGAACAGAGTGAGCACTGGACCCAGGGCAGGTAAAAAACCCATTTAGAACCGATTTTTGGTTGCATTGGCCATGGAGGACCTGGGGGACCCACAACAGCATCCCTGCACCCCTTCCACCACCTTCGATAGCTCTAGGAGAGCAGGTCGTATCCGCTCCCTCGGCTACTCCAAAGCAGCCAATTTGTATAAATAAAGCATTTATTAGAGCAAAGACAACTTGTCAGCGCTTGAAAACAAGTGACAGGTCGGCTCAGGGAGCAAGGACCAGGCGTCTCGCCCGGGCTCAAAGAGGTGATGGCACACAGACGCACGCACACCCGGTTTCGTATCCCCGGCTTGTGCGGCGCGATGCAACGCCAGGCACATTACTAGCCCTATTTTCCATTTATAGGAGCCTGTCATAAATGGCACTCCTCTCCGAGCAGATGTCGAAAAATTAGAGGGAATTCAGACAGCGGCAGAAAAAAAACTGATTAAAGGAGATGGAGGGCCTGATTTTGGAGGGAAAAGAAATCAGCTGAGCTATTTATAACGCTGCCTGCACTAGGGTGGGTAGGAACAGGCATTTTTTTTGAAGTGCCTCGATAGCTCAGCTAAGGGGAAGGGGCAAACCAGCCTCCG